GGGGGGGGGGTCAGAGGGAGCGGTTTTTCCCCTGGAAAAATGTTGGGGGAGGGGCATCGCCCCTCCAAAGTCAAGCTGAAACCTTTTGTGTCAGCGAATTTGCCTCTCAAAATGCAGGAAATTGCGTTTCAGATGGTCTAGTAAGGTTGCGCCTTCAGTGCAAGGTTGGTGAGCAGATCTCGCCCCCACATGCAAAATCTCGTGCCGCCGCCTTTGACACCCCACTCACAACACACATTGGCAAAGAACGAAACTCTCGATTCGGCCATTATGGTGCCATTTTATTGTTAATTGACATTGAGCTGCACTTGTAAGGTCATTGGTCTTTGACATCATAACAGAAACAAATTAGGAAGATTCGTTAATATGAAAGGCTAGATACTGCCTCCTGATATCTATAAATACGATGATTTCAACTAAATGAATCTATTTCAAACGTATGTACAAGTTAACAGATATCTCAAAGCAATAAACTAGGCATAATGGCCCTCACGCATTGAGCAACACATTTATTTTGTTTTTATTCACAGGACTTTTCGCGAAGATATCCCTAGAACAGACAACAGAAGCGGGAATATGTCTAGAGTCAATCGTTTTTTATTTTAAATATGGAACGCTAGATCCGTGACCGGTCCATCATCAGCTTGAACTAGCAAGATGACGTCAGACTGGCCAGGGGTCCAGCATGACACCATGAACGGTCGTTTTATTCTGGGATGACACAAGACTGTCGATATATTCTGTTTCCCACGAAATTTGGTTACAAAAAAAAATTACTCGTATGCACCACCAGTCAAATCAGTGTAAAAAATACAACACATTCTGAGATAAAAAACACACACTATCCCTAAAAGTATGTAAATTTCTAAGTAAACTAAACACAATAATTTACATATATTTTTTGGGGGGGGGCATAAAATGATAATAAGAAGCAAACATGGGTATTTTTTTATATTAAAACATAATGTACAGATGGAAAATCCTCTTTTGGTTTTGTGTGTCAGTTTTCGGCATTCTCTCACTAAAAAATAAAATAGCTGTGAAGTAGTATCATATTTTTTGTAATTTTATTTTATTCGTGGCAACAAATGATTATGGAAATTCGCTGGAATCTATAGGCTCCAACCAAATAGAGAGAGACAACGAAAGTAAAATGAAATGATAGGTATATCGATTTATCGGTCGATTTATTGATTGGGTGCATATATTATTCATTGAAAGGTTTTTTTGTTGGAGATATAATATAGCGAGGCCGACAATCCAAGATGGCTTCAAGTGTTGTAGGCATTGGTGTGATGGAGAGAACTTCTAGCCATTCTGGAAAGTTGTGAAAAGATTTCAAACTATCTAACCAGATTTTTTCACTAATTCTTCATCTTTGGTTCCGTGTTTGATGATACGACAGAATGCGATGTAGTCCAAATCTCCACGGTCGTCGATTGGAGCGCCATAACACATTTGTTCGAACTGTGAATATAGATATATTATTATTAGGATCTGTAGACTGGTTGCCGACCTCGAGTATCAGTTGGCGTTCACCAGTGAAAGCATTCTGCCGAACGTGACTTCAATAGTCACGCGTTATTTTTTGGGCCTCGAGAATTAATAAATTTCGTTAATATATACAAATTGTGGATTTCTGTGTCACGTCATATTTATGACAGAGTACGTCATCAAATTCACCATTTTTTTCACCCTCGTTCGTATCTAACCTATCTGTCATAAAAACAGTAAGCCAATTATTTATCCATCTCACCACCACTTCAATGACAAATAAACATTGGATTTAAAATAAGGCGAATTTTAGAAAAAAATCTAAAGTTCTTGTTGAAATTTTGTGTTGAATACACGCTGTGAACGAGCTTTTAACAAACAAACACGTTAGTGACGTCATCGGACAGAATACCAGGTTCACACTCAGAAACCCGCAACTAGTCTGTATATAGATCTGGAAATTGGAATAAACCAGCCCATGGAAGGTACTCCTAGTACTGCTACCTTCCATAGCCAGCCTGCGATGTTGGAACGTGAACTCACCTCGTCTTTTGTCAGTCGGTCCCCTCTCATACAAAGAGCATCTACAAGACTGCAAAAAAGATACAAAGATAAGAAGCTGGGAATGTTGTCAAACTTTATACAAGGAAGATATAATGGCAGTCTTCCTGTGATGATACATAACTAGCAAAATAAAACTCTTCGATCTCCCGGTGTTATAGTTGACGAAATGATAATAATACTTACTCGTCTTCGTTTATCAATCCCGATCCATTGTCGTCTAGTGTTTTGAAAGCATTTTTTATGGTTTCTTCGGGATCCGTACCTGCAACAGAAGAGAATATAGAAGTTAGTAGGTTCATTTCTTTAGTAAATGAGATAACAATTTATTGCATTGTTTCAACACCGAGGCAAATTGTTTATTCTACATAACGTGACGTCACGTTGGGTGTATCTAGTTTCCCTGAACAATTCTTGTAGTATCCATGTTGGTATCGTGGCGCTGATAATGGAACGTGCATTTATATGGTGATGGGATGACGGCTCAGATGGTTACATCCAAAAATAAGCAAATACACAAACAAACTAGAACGAGCTCAGTGTGAAATATACAATGTTTATGACAAGTAATACCAATGCGTGCTAAAATATTGCATTTACTTACCGTTTAATTTTTCACCAAATAACGTCAGAAACATGGTAAAGTTGATAGGACCTGGTGCTTCACCCACCATTTCATCCAGCACTTTATTTTCCGGGTCCTTACCTATACATATCAAAATACAGAGATGAATAAATATTCGTGTTTTGACCTCTGTGTAAAAGTATCACAAACATCACGCCGCGTCGTAATAGGAGTCCCACGCGATTTAGTTGCGTAAAATGCTCGTCTTTTACAGGAAATTCGAAGGCGCATTGCATGGCAACTGTGGCGTTTAATGACGCTAGCCGTTACGCTTATTTCGTAATTTGTGAATACGATGTACTAGTTGAGGGGGTCAACATGTCTGTATGAGAACGAGACATAAAAAAAGAGTGTGATTTATTTAAATGTGTTCCAGCCCGTCGTAATTTAATTGAAGGGATCTGGCACCACCGCATAGTTTGGCCATGGAGCAATGTTCATACTGATAAAAATGGATCAAAACATTTTAATGGGAAGTTTGAACAGACGTTTTAATGGTAGTGTTTTGACAATAAGATAAACTAAATTCACATAATACGAATGGTAACTATACAAATAGCATCATCTACTCTGTCTGTGCGTCATCGACTTACCCATAGAGGCGAACATATCGTGTAAGTCTTCCCTGTCAATAAACCCGTCTCTGTTTTGATCGATTAACGTGAACGCCTAGAACAAGAACAAACAACCGCAAGGTTATTTATTTTTACGAAATAATTGAGTAAAAATGGCGCCTTTTCAAAATAGATCAACACCATACCGACTCGACCCTGGGAATGTGACAAGGAATGCAGGGTTTTGCAAACAGATCTTGACAATGTCACGAAAAGTATAAATATATACAACAGGGTTTATGGTACAAATGCATGTAGAATAAATAAAGTATTGCACGCCCTCGCGTATAAACACTAATTTTTTAGTCTAAACACATATCATATATCAGTTAGTGAGAGGCAAAAACATTCCAGATGCAGATCCTTGACCAGCTAATAGTTTTCTTACAAAAAGAAACATGATACGAGTCAGCTGTGGCCAGCTGGCATTTGTACTATGTATGACATATGTTACGGTGAAAGTGAAATTATTACCATCTAGCAGATAAAAATAACCCCAAATTTCGTTTATTAATCCATAATACCATTATCATCTTATTGAATATTTCTAACTGATTTCGCAACTCACGGTATCTACAATTACATTACGAAGTATATGAACTTTTCCGGTGATTCCGGAGTGATAAATAATCAATCGCTCTAATTCGGATGCGCACATTTTATTGTATCCGAAAGGAATGTTCAAGTACAACACCAAATTCGGAAGCAATGGAATAATAAATAAATAACAAACAAACAAAATAAAAAATACCCCAAAATATGTTTTAAATATTTTATTTTGTAAGTTAGAGTATATTGAATTAGTGACACATATATAAATCGTTATAAAACGTTACGATTTCGAGTTACGTGTATTGTCTCTATAACAATTGCTTATTACTAACAAGAACAGCAGTCCATGGCTGCATATATCTACAATAATACCTCTAAACAAAAAACATATGTCGATGTTAGAGAAAAAACAGACAAGGATAATTGGCATTCTAACAAAAGTATTCCAAGATGGCCTCTTTTGCAAAGACGCGCAGCAACTCCAAATATTCGACAGATTCTTTGCATGCTAAGTCAGTCGCTGCACTGCGCCACACACGGCCGATTTTGTTTAGATATCTGCGCGATCTGGATGAAGAGCTCACATAAGATATACAGCCCACTAACAATAATGTTAAGGGTTAACCGTATACCTTACAAGGTCTATAGGTGGGTTAACCAATTAATTCCCCAAGGGGAGGCTTTGTCGTGTTCTGGCATATTCCCTCCTTTGACAACTAACAGATGTGTAACTTTTTTCTCAGAGTAGAAGGGAGGAGAAAGAGAGAAAAATAGAGGGGTCAGTGTCTCGGATCGAATATCTACAGTATAACAGTACGTACCTCCTTGAACTCCTGGATCTGTGCCTGGTCAAACATAGCAAACACGTTACTTGTTGCACGTTGAGCACGTTTCTTTTGCTTTCCACCGGACTTTGCTTTTCTGCTGGCCTGTAATACATATTTATAGTATAGATAAACTGACAAATAAATTAAAGACTACTGTAATAGCGCTCCTAAGCCAACGTGGATGAATTGAAAACATACGACTGTCTCTGTTGAAATGTTAATATACAATTAATTATGTTTTACATTATTCACAAGGAGTATCGTGACGAATAATTAATACTTTTCAATTCAAACGTCATTTGTACTATTAAATGAAGGTACTAGAGATGCACCAATATCAATGTCGGATCAGCTAGAGGGCGCAATCTTTACCTAAAAATATATATTGAAATTTAGTTAAATGTAACTATTAATGATCGAAAGAAAAACATCGAATGCGGTAATATTCATCGATGTTTCTAAAAATTGACCGCCACAAAAACCGTGTTTCTGCTTGTATTGCTATTCTAGGCAAAGAATGACTACTACATACTCGACTGGGCCCTTGTACATTCCATACATACTTACCACGAAGGGTCAGTTAGGGTACTTTAACAATTTTTAACAGAGTTTGTTTATTCCCAGATTTCTCGTCTTTTTCAGAAGAAGTGAATTAGTAGAAAGAATTACAAACTCGTTACCACAATCCTCACATAGATGAGATTAGAGGAGAGTGAACACATACACAACGAGCGAAGAATGTAGCGAAGAATGCAAAGTATGGTTTGGAGTGAAAACTTTGAGGCTGGAAGGTTTCCTGCCCTTCTAACTACAACGGAATATCAGACATCATCTCAGCAAATCAGTTAGACAGAAAGTTGAAGTATAATAGAGACACCACTTACCATGTTTAAGTTTCGAGACTAAATCCACAAGAAAAGAAAAAAAGAATCCTAAGAGTTTGGTAAGCTGAACGGATAGAGACGGGTACAGACACAGGGAGAGTGATCTTATGCCAATGAGGGACGAGGTCTCATAGCCCATGGGGGTCTACGATGGAACATACCATTATGGAATGGGTAAAAGTAACGCGTGAACTTGGTTTATTTTAATTAAAACTTAACGAAACTTTAGTTTCACTGCGCCTTCTTGCTTTCAACGTACATCATGTGATTAGATGTATGGATCGAGATGATATTCGCGGAAAAAACAAGGCTTAGAAAAAAGGGATGTTAGAATTCTCTCCCGTTGTTGAATCCATCTTGGTATCAACCATGCTGTGATTAGATAACCAGAAGAATTAGCAATCATTTCTTTCCTTATTTAGCTATGGACCAGTAATCCAATCCAATACAACAACTGAGTTCATGATCCAAGATGGCGGAGTTTCTTTTAACAGTACCCAGTCCTTTTCTGCTGAAAAACATGTTTTACTTTGGTATATATTTAGTGTTTCACTTTGCCAACAAAAAAGGAGATACATACTTAACATTTTCAGAAGGAAAACGTTAAATGTTGATGTTTTTTAAAAAAAAATTTAGTTGACATAATATATAAATAATAAATTTCACTCTGCCAGGGCGTTGGAACCGGGATCAGAACATTGTCATTTAACTATTGTTTCTAAAATTTTCGTAAAACTAAAAACAACAACTTGAGGTCACACAGACCACATTTAAATAGCTACTACCATGTAGAGTGACCAGTATCAGAATTAATTAAAAATCAGCGGGGGACGGGGATGTGTAGGAATATCGGTGTGTAGTAGAGTAAACTGATGCTTGTCAGTTCATGGTGTCGCCACGTGATCTGGGGCACGTCTCGTGAGACGAATTTAACGTTTCACTAATATTTGATTTGTAATAATGACCCGATCCTCTCCATCCGATGACATAACCGAAGCCATTCCCGCACGATGACATGAGCAACCCACCCATCATATTCTCGATGGCACGAGCGACTCAACAATTCACATCCGATGTCATAGGCGACACATCCATCCAACACCCGATGACATAGACGACCCACCCGATGTCATAGGCGACCCACCCACCCCACTCCCGATAACATGGGCAATCCAATGTCAGTGGATAATAATAATATTAATATAGTATACATATATCATTAAATAATATTAACTTTATTCAATTTGACAAAATTAGCAATATAAATCTATCTACATGGTGCGAATCATTTTCATCTATCTATATATCTATCTATCTATCTATCAATCAATATCATAAATCGATGAATTAAAGCCTACACAATTTGGAAAACGCGGGAGCAGATTTTATATAGATTACTTGAATGGAACAAGTACCGTTAATTATAGCAACCAGTGTGGATGGGAAATGGAGGCTTTATTTACGTATAATATGTGCCCACCATACGGAGGTGGCGACGAACTGGCCACAATATCACCCCTGCTAGGTTACGTGCCCACAAGGCGGAGGTGGCGACGAACTGGCCACAATATCACCCCTGCTAGGTTACGTGCCCACAAGGCGGAGGTGGCGACGAACTGGCCACACTATCACCCCTGCTAGGTTACGTGCCCACAAGGCGGAGGTGGCGACAAACTGGCCACACTATCACCCCTGCTAGGTTACGTGCCCACAAGGCGGAGGTGGCGACAAACTGGCCACACTATCACCCCTGCTAGGTCTAAATGAGGCGTCATATTTACACGTTAGTTCGATGACACGGATGCTAATAGAAATCATTTGAAACGGATAATCCGGCTTAGCATGTTTTCCGTTGAAAAAATAACCTCATACTACGCTCAGTGACGGTATAACCCGCATTGTCAACAGCTGCAACTGAAGCATCCTTCCTCGATTCACTTCCTTATACGGCCATCAGTAGGTCATCGTCACACGAGCATACTTGTGACGTCATAGCAACGTCTTGAAACACGCCACCATATCACCATGGTTACCCCCACATCCTTTTAAATAGTCAACTCGAAATTACGAATGACCATCGTCATCATCCCCATGTGTTCAAATCTAACTATAAATAAGGAGTATTGTTTTACATTCAACCATAGGCTGTATATATTATATTGGCTATGGTTAGATCAACGCACAAAAGAAACAATTTTTCGTACCCACATCACGGACATGCGCACATTAACCTTTATTCCCTCGATTTTATTTCTCCTTCTCGCTCTTTAAAAAATTTAATGACAGGAACCTGTTTTCAAGAGGCCGTCTGAAGAGTTTACCGGAATAATCCAAAACCAGTTAAATAGGTTCAATATAAGATGTTGTTGTTATTATTCCTAGACTATGTGTAAATATATCACTGTGCTGAAGTACCGAAATATCTGAGATATCATTCACTGACACTGCTGTAACACACATATACATTGTACTGAACTCGTAACAAAAATAGTTGTGTCCTGGGCGCCTATAAACCACAATTTCAAGGTAAGTATTCTCAGTATACGTCATTGATGGCCCTTTCCTTCCTGCGCCCTATCTCGACCCCTGTCTTGGTACACACACGGCCTTGGAATCAGCGTAATAGGGCTTCTGCACATTAGCACGATCATGACATTCAATCAGAGGCTTTGCATTATTCATACCCCGACTAAGTCACCGCGATTTATAAAAATAATACAAATAAACAAACTTGAATAAACAGCTGCATCTACAAGAAAAGTAGTTGTTGAACATGTCACGTGACACGAAATTTTTTACAATTGTGTATAAATATTTAATTTATTTTATCAGTTGTTACCGGTATATATACGTTAAACGTATTGTAGATATTCACTTTCAAAACACACATCGCTTTGTACACGCAAACAATAACAAAAAAACAACTTGTGCATATATCTATGCAATATTGACTATTATTTTCTAACAAAGTTTCAGAAGTTTGTTATTGTAAGCCATTGGATCTCAGATTATCGAAAATGAAATTCTCTTCCAGCACGTTCAATTTCTAGACTTGCATACAGTCTCTTGTTTGCCGTATTTCTCGCCATTTATACACTTCCATATTTTATTTTATTGAAAAAAAAACACCAATAAAAATAAACAAACGATTGTATGAAAGTCAAGTTCAATTACCAAATTGTCTTGGATATTTAACAACAGGTTGTGGATATACCAAATGGATGTTTATTGTCATAGCTATCAGCTGTTTTGCCTTGACCATGAACTACCTCCATGCCTTGACCGAGTCGGTCACATCAATCACGACACTCCCCCTGTAGAGGCGAAATAGTACTAGTCCTTCTTGCGGTACTGGTATTTAGAAATCTGTACACATGTATGACGTATTCTGAGGAATACTCAGCTGGATAACCTTTTTCAACATTGCCGGCATCACTGTAGTTGAATCAGCTTCATTGTTTTGGGTCGTTTCAACTCAAGTTAAGCAATGTCATAGACCCACTTACGTCATAGAAACATCACAAGGAGCGACTCAAAAGAAAAGGTGCATTGATAGTTGCATTTTCATGTGAGATTTTGTTTATCGTTATCTGGAGAGTAACAGCTTAGTACATACATATTAGTGTTCTAGTATTTTTGAATTATTAGACAGTTATAGGATATTGTTTTGTAATTTATATTCTATTGTGTAACCCTTACAATTTACCGTATTTTTTGTTGAATGTGACATTTTGCGGATTAACTTTGTTTGTTTTTCTATTTGTTATGTAATTATTGTTATGTAAAAATTTGCCCATTGTGTCAAATTCCTCCATACCACATTTGCTCATTATGTCACATTTTTCGCATGCCACATTTGGCTCATTATGTCACATTTTTCGCATGCCATATTTGGCTCATTATGTCACATTTTCCCTATACCACATTTGCTCATTATGTCACATTTTTCCCATACCACATTTGCTAATTATGTCACATTTTCCGCATGCCACATTTGGCTCATTATGTCACATTTCCCCCATACCACATTTGCTCATTATGTCACATTTTTCCCATACCACATTTGCTAATTATTTCACATTTTCCCCATACCACATTTGCTAATTATGTCACATTTTCCCCATACCACATTTGCTCATTATGTCACATTTTTCCCATACCACATTTGCTAATTATTTCACATTTCCCCCATACCACATTTGCTCATTATGTCACATTTCCCCCATACCACATTTCCCCCATACCAAATTTGGCTCACTATGTCACATTTTCCCCATACCACATTTGGCTCATTATGTCACATTTTCCCCATACCACATTTGGCTCATTATGTCACATTTTCCCCATACCACATTTGGCTCATTATGTCACATTTTCCCCATACCACATTTGGCTCATTATGTCACATTTCCCCCATTTAGCTCATTATGTCACATTTTCTCCATACCACATTTGGCTCATTATGTCACAATTTCCCCATACCACATTTGGCTCATTATGTCACATTTTCCCCATACCACATTTGGCTCATTATGTCACATTTGGCTCATTATGTCACATTTCCCCATACCACAGTCGATCCACTGTCATATTTTCTACCACATTTGATCTATTGTTCGAATTTCCTCATACCACATTTGATCCACTATGTCATATTTGCTCATACCACATTTGATCCACTATCACATTTCCTCATACCACATTTGATCCATTCTGTCACATTTTCTCATACTACATTTGATCCACTATGTCACATTTGCTCATACCATGCTTGATCCACTATGTCACATTTCCTCACACCACATTTGTTCCATTCTGTCACATTTCCTCATACTACATTTGATCCACTGTCACATTTGCTCATACCACATTTGATCCATTCTGTCACATTTC